TAAATCTTCATATAGAGTACCATGTAAACTCCTCAAAGAGTACCATGTAAAAGTGCTCATAAAGTAACATGTAAAACTCCTCGTAGAGTAACATGTAAAACTCCTCATAGAGTAACATGTAAAACTCCACATAGAGTACCATGAAAATTTTCATATAGAGTACCATGTAAAACTCCTCATAGAGTACCATGAAAATCTTCATATAGAGTGCCATGTAAACTCCTCACAGAGTACCATGTAAAAGTCCTCATAGAGTACAAGGTACACTCCTCATAGAGTACCAAGAAATATTCCTCAAAGAGTACCATGTAAAACTCCTCATAGAGTACCAGGTAAACCTCCTCACAGAGTACAAGGTAAAACTCCTCATAGAGTACCTGGTAAACCTCCGAATAGAGTGCCAGGTAAAACTACTAATAGAGTACCATGTAAAAGTCCTCATAGAGTACCATGTAAAAAACCTCATAGAGTACCAGGGAAAACTCCTCATAGAGCACCAGGTAAAACTCCCCATAGAGTACCTGGTAAACCTCCTAATAGATTGCCAGGAAAAACTCCTTATAGAGTACCAGGAACAACTCCTCATAGAGTACCATGTAAAACTCCTCATAGAGTACCTCATAACACACCTCATAGAGTACCAGGTAAACCTCCTCACAGAGTACAAGGTAAAACTCCTCATAAAGTACCTGGTAAACCTCCAAAGAGAGTTCCAGGTAAAACTACTAATAGAGTACAAGGTAAAACCTCATAGAGTACCATGTAAAACTCCTCATAGAGTACAATGTAAAAGTCCTCATAGAATGCCAGGTAAACCTGCTAATAGAGAACAAGGTAAAACTCCTCGTAGAGTACCATGTAAAACTCCTCATAGAGTAACATGTAAACCTCCTAATAGAGTACAAGGTAAAAGTCCTCATAGAGTACAAGGTAAAACTCCTCACAGAGTACCATGTAAACTCCTCACAGAGTACAATGTAAAACCCCTCATAGAGTACCTGCTTTCCATACCATGTAAAACTCTCATAATAGAGTACAATGTAAAACTCCTCATAGAGTACGAGGTAAAACTCCTCTTAGAGTACAATGTAAAACCCCTCATAGAGTACAAGGTGAACCTGCTTTCAGAGTACAAGGTTAAACTCCTCATAGAGTACCATGTAAAAGTCCTCATAGAGTAACATGTAAAACTCCTCATAGAGTAACATGTACAACTCATCATAGAAGAGCATGTAAAACTCCTCATAGAGAACCATGTAAATCTTCATATAGAGTACCATGTAAACTCCTCATAGAGTACAATGCAAAACTCCTCTTAGAGTACCATGTAAAACTCATCGTAGAGTACCAGGAAAAACTCCTCATAGATTATCAGGAAAAACTCATAGAGTACCATGTAAAACTCTTCATGGTGTACCAGGAAATCTCCTCATAGAGCACCCGGTAAAACTCCTCATAGAGTACCTGGTAAACCACCTAATAGGGTGCCAGGTAAAACTCCTAATAGAGTACCAGGAACAACTCCTCATAGAGTACCAGGAAAAACTCCTCAGAGTACCATGTAAAACTCCTCATAGAGTACAAGGTAAAACTCCTCATAGAATACCTCATAACACTCCTCATAGAGTACCAGGTAAACCTCCTCATAGAGTACAAGGTAAAACTCCTCATACAGTACCATGTAAACTCCTCATAGAGTACCATGGAAAACTCATCATAGAGTACCATGGAAAACTCCTCATAGAGTACCTGGAAAAACTCCTCATAGATTATCAGGAAAAACTCCTCATAGAGTACCATGTAAAACTCCTCATAGAGTACCATGGAAAACTCCTCATAGAGTACCTGGAAAAACTCCTCATAGATTATCAGGAAAAACTCCTCATAGAGTACCATGTAAAACTCCTCATAGAGTACCAGGTAAACCTCCTAATAGAGTACCATGTAAAATTCATCATAGAGTTCCAAGTATAATTCCTCATAGAATACCAGGTAAAACTCCTCATAGAGTTCCAGGTAAAACTCCTCATAAAGTTCGACCGCCTCCGTGGTGTAGTGGTTAGAGCGTCTGCCCGGAGAGCGGAAGGTAGCGGGTTCGATCCCCGACCGCGTCATACCAAAAGACGTTAAAATATGGTACTTGTTGGTCCCTGCCTGGCGCTCGGCATTAATGGGTACAACAAGGACTGGTCGGCTCGGAGTCAGTATAATGTGTCTGAGTGGGGTATTCATGCTTCACTGCGGCATGGTATCTCAGTGGGCTAGCACTTTAAAACCAGCTTAAGTCTGGGCTAGTACAAGCAGCCGCACATACACACACACACGCATGCACGTCGTCATGTGAGCGAAATATTCTCAAGCACGACGTTAAATCCAATTTCACCTCACCTCACCTCATAAAGTTCCAGGAAAAACTCCTCATAGAGTACAAGGTAATCCTCCTATTAATAGAGTACCATATAATACTCCTCATAGAGTACCAGGTAAACCTCCTCAAAGAGTGCCTCATAACACTCCTCATAGAATACAAGGTAAAACTCCTCATAGAGTACCTGATAACACCCCTCACAGAGTACGTGGTGAACCCAACCCCATCGATCAATGCAATTGGGATACGATGACATGTGTCAACCAAGTCAGCGAACCTGACCACCCGATCCCGTTAGTCGCCTCTTTCGACAAGCATGGGTAGTCGAAGACCAGTTCTAACCCGGATCTTCACGGGTACTTCTGTACCTCTGATAGCAGGGTAGACGAGTAGTTGCACCACAATGTGTTGATCACAAAATACACAGTTGTTTCTCCGTAGTCTAATAACAGCCGACCAAAAATGGGATTTTAAGGTTGGTTTCGATGTTAGAACGCCGCCATCTTGTTGTTCCTATCATCGATCTACATGTGAATGTTTACAAGCTGCTGAGAGATGGAATATTTCTTACCATCGCCTCGAAAACCTCCACTCACTGAGTGGAACACAATCATAAACGTTTATCTGGCATTATACAAAAGCAACATACAGATCCATTGGTAAATACTACTTCTAAGAGTCCATATGAGTTGGACAATCCTGTGATCGTATCCTTCTACGCAATAAGGATACGATGACACGTGTCAACCAAGTCTTCGAGCCTGACCACACGATCCCGTTAGTCGCCTCTTACGACAAGCATGGGTTACTGAAGACCAATTCTAACCTGGAAAATCACGGGTCTGTAACATTCTGCGATGATAATCTGATATCACAAGTTACAGAAAACCTGGTTCGGTCCAACCACTCTCCAGGAACAGTTACTATACCTGGCTGTTCCTGTCTTTGCACTCCTCCCTCGTAACAAATAGTGGAATGTATCAAGATTTTAATGACAGTTTGTTAAACAACTTTTTTATTGTAGGACATTAATTCTGAAAAAAAATCACAGTTGGTCTGATGTTTTGATTATGATCAGTGTTTCATTGAGTACTATATGTTTAGTAGTTTTCGAGTTAGATTTTGAGCCAAACGGACTATAGTGACCAGAGTATTTTTGCAAACGCAGATGAGAAAATCGGTCACACCAATTTCCCAACTCAATCCGTTTCCCTTGCTGACTACTACTACTACTACTACTACTACTGCTGCTACTATAGTCTGTCTCAGTCCCTGAACCACTACTACTACTACTACTACTACTACTACTATTTTCTCTACTACAATATAAATGGGCTTGTTTGTTACTATCAAAATTAAATATATTCAGAGACTAAGCCTTAGTCTACTGCTACTACTACTACTGCTGCTGCTGCTGCTGCTGCTGCTGCCGCCGGACAATCCCAGTGATTACAAACAAACAACCATCAACATTGCACTAGTTTAATAACACGAAGGAGGTGACGACCGTTTCCGGAAATACACAAGTACATAAATACAAATAAATAGAATGGCAAAATAAACAACATGGCAATTGATCCCTGTAAGGAATGGTGGCAATACTAGCTAATTTTGGAATTTGCTGAAAACAATTGAATCTGTTGGAACTGGTTCTCCTCGGAAATGGTTCTCCTCGAAATGTGATATATTTGCATTTATAAATCGGCAAGGTTTTAGAAGTTAAGCATGATGTTTAAGTCAGTCTGGAGAAGAGGACTGCAGCGGTGGGACGTGTTAAGCAAGGCACTTCCAGGCTGTCACCTGAAACAAAGAAAGAAAGTGAGTGAGTTGGGTTTGACGCCGCTTTTAGCAATATTCCAGCAATTTCACGGAGGGGGACACCAAAAGTGAACACTTTAACCACTAGGTTACCCCACCAGCCCATTACATGGACTGCATGGACAGCTGGCACTACTTGCTGTGTTGGGGCGGTGGGCTAGCCTAGTGGTTAAAGTGTTCACTCGTCACGCTGAAGACCCGGGTTCGATTCCCCACATGGGTACAATGTGTGAAGGCCATTTCTGGGTTCGATTCCTCACCCGGGTACATTGTGTGCCGCCCATCTCTGGGTTCGATTCCTCACCCGGGTGGATTGTGTGAAGCCCATTTCTGGTGTCGCTGTGATATTGCTGAAATATTGCTGAATTCACTCTCTTATTGATGTAGCCATCAATTGAACTGTTTATGTTTGTATATAAAACATTCAGCAGCTTTGTAAACTTTCTTTTCACGTATCGTCAGAGTTGACATATACCGGGAAACCTTGATTTGAAGATTGGTTAATGGTCGAATGAAACAAGATATACACAGTGTCCTCTGCCAGAGACCGATATAGCAATATACAATCCTGGCCAATCACTCCTCTCATGCCAGTAACAGGTCGAGTTTATATCAAAGATGGCTAGCAATATAATGCCTGATCTATGGCATTTGCAGTTGTTGGTGACTCGCGTCTCATCATTATATACTATTAACAGGTCGAGTTTATATGTTCCTGCACAAAGATGGCGTTACCATTGGACAGTTACCATTAGTTACCATTGTCAGTTACCATTGGCAGTTGATTGGGCAGTTGCCATTGATCTGTTACCATTTAATACCACGTTACCATTGGACAGACTCTTGGCTTGCAGTTGTTGGTGATTGGCTGCAGTTACAATTGGGCAGTTACCATTGGACAGTTACCATTGGACAGTTACCATTGGACAGTTACCATTGGACAGTTACCATTGGACAGTTACCATTGGACAGTTACCATTGGACAGTTACCATTGGACAGTTACCATTGGACAGTTACCATTGGACAGTTACCATTGGACAGTTACCATTGGGCAGTTACCATTGGACAGTTACCATTGGACAGTTACCATTGGACAGAAACAATTGGGACGTTACCATTGGACAGGAGTAGTTTGGGCATCTACCAATCAGAAACCATGTGACGTCACCATTTGGGCATCTACACTCATACCATGTACTCCTTGAAAACACGAACTCAGTAAACCATTGGGATATAAAGTCTCTGAATGGCATTTAGAAGTGATGCACATTACAGGTGAGAGTGAACTTCTTTTATGACGGGTAACACAGCGTGAATCACCTGTTGAAGGAGTAAGAATTTACTCCGGAACGTCGAACTCCCCATAGCATCCATAAATACTGACCATTCATTTGTTTATATACTGATGTTCTATGAGTCAATAGACATTTGGAGGATTGTTTTTGAACCCCTGTTATCATATATGCTTCATTACCGTGAGTTGTTTGCATATTGATTATAATCCCCTAAAGTTATCCTACCAGCTTACGTCGTTTCAGTGGCTGGAAGTCTAATATAGGACGTTTTCGACAGCTTCAGCACGAACTGTTAGTTGGGTTGCTGTTTTACGCCGCACTCAGCAATATTCCAGCAATATGGCGGCGCTCCGTACATGATCCAGTCTGGACCAGATAATCCAGTGATCAACAGCATGAACATCGATCTACGTAACTTGGATGCGATGACATGTGTCAACCAAGTCAGCGAGCCTGACGACTCGATCCCGTTAGTCGCCTCTTACGGCAAGCATTGGTAGCTGAAGATAAATTCTAACCCGGATCTTCACGGGTCGAAAATAATTAAAAAGGTTTGAGATAAAAACGTACATCCGGCGAAGGCAATGTTGCTCTGTACGACCTGTGACTCTCCATTCTTGACAGTGACCAGGAGGTTCTGGTTGGCGAACTGGACAGTGACCTCTACCCAGGGGTCGTTGGTAAACTGTAGGTAAATGGTACAGTTAGTCAGGGACATCAAACAGATACTAGAACTACAGAAGCAATGTCGCTAGTAATGTATTGTTTCAAACTTCGTATTCCGTAATTCCGTTTTATACTTATTCCCACTTTTGGACATAACTTATTATAATACCATGCTGTTGGGAATGAAAGTGTTATTCTATAGGCTTGCCACGCGATGTTTTATTTGTCTTTAAATGTCCAAATAGCGAAAAAGACATAGACTATGACCATTAGCAATCTGCTCTTTCCCGATTGGCTGTTAACAGAAGGGGCGACGCATGACTTGCGTTAGTAGGCTGCTCCATGTCACTGATTTAGGACTGTTGTGTACACATGTTTGTGTTAGTGGCTAAGTAAGCACAATGTTGATGATACTATCGCTGACGCCTATATGCATAAGCATTGACATAATTAAAGTCAACACGTGGATTTACCAAGTCAGTTTATAACTCCATAAAATATATAGCTGGCAATTTGTAAAGATTGACCACTGGATGTTTTGGGGGTGCCTGAGATATTATAAAAAAACAATGTTCTGAAAAATACTATTGTGCTGTTCAAAAATTGCATTGTCATTACTGAAATCATAAATCATATATACTTGCAAAGGTGCTTGTGTTTTCGTTCGTTTTGTTTGGGGCAGACAAAGCAGACAGAGATTGTAGATCCGAGTTTTAACGTTTTAACATCATCTGAGGGTAGGTAAAGATGTTAAGGAGAACGTCGGTAGTATTTTATTCTGGTTATGCCAGTGCAAGACCCGTAAGAGTTAGGAATAAACACATACACTGCCGAGTAGAAGAAAGTACTCGTCAATGTTTCATGATGCTTAAACATAAACTAGAAGTAGATAGAATAGTAAGTTGGGTTTTACGCCGCTCTTAGCAATATTTCAGCAATATCACGGCGAGGGACACACGAAATGGGATCCACACACTGTATCCATGTGGGGAATCGAACCCGGACCTTGGCGTGACGAGCGATCGCTATACTGGGCTACCCCGCCGCTCCTCGTAGAAAGAGTAGAAGCGATAAGAAAGAGTAGAAGCGACAAAACCCTTTCCGCATACATAAGAAATCTCTGATAAAGCAGAGTCGATTGTACCATTGTGCTGTACTATGTGTTTCAGCAGTATTACAGCTGTACGATGTTGTTTGTAAACAAATCGGGTCTGGACCAGACAATCCAAACACGTGGAGGTAGCTGGACGTCTTGGATGCGAGTGTTATCGTTACATGTCTCTGCATCACTCAGCAGGTCAGGCCGGTAACGATGTCAAATCAGGTGTGGACGTATAAACAGTGGAATCTGT